TCTTGCCCATTTAATTCAGATTCATTTTGGTTTTTATTTCCATCACTTTTGTTATTAAATATCATGCAATGTGATAACAAAAGATCTGCCAAGAATGGTCAAATGTAACAATCTGGAGAATTTATTACGTGATTAAACCACTCTCTAAACATTTACGTCTTAGGGAATTCTTTTCTCTTCATATTAGAGTAGCGTTTTTTATATATATCAAAATTGTGCTCAGTCCGGTTAACGTGAGCAACTAATACATTTAACGTGTTGTTTTGCAAAATATCACTTTTGTATTCATATAACATTTTATTTAAATTTCTTGAGGTTTCTCCGATACATTCTTTGTGACAATTATTACAGATAATAGAGCAAATTCCTCTTTGTATTCTCCTCTTTGTATTAATTAAGTCTTTTATTATTTCAGACGTTGTTGTGAAACACACACACACACACACACACACACACACACATATATATATATATATATATATATATATATATATATATATATATATATATATATATATATATGTATGTATGTATATATATATATAGGTAAAATCCGTAGGTAATCCAAGTGAATCATATTAATACAAAATATTAAAACGGTTCCACAAAAGAGAGTTCAATATATTTATTATAGTGCAAAGAAATGAATTACATAAAAATGAAACTCAGTTGTACCCCATTTTTATGGCCATTTCGCTTCTCGGGATAAATTCTCTGGAGATGTTCAATAATGAAACGTTTGATAAAAAGGGCTCCAGGGGAACCCATTTTTTTTTATCAAACGTTTTAGTGTTGACAAGCTCCAGGGAATTTATCCCAAGGAGTGAAATTGCCATAAAAATGTGGTACAACAGAATTTATTTTTATGTAGTTCACACACTGTCATACCATATACCTATTCTATTAATTATAGACTCTCCTACAGATAATAAGTAGTAGTAGCAGTGGCCAGTTGGGCTCAGTGGTGTTGAGCGAGTCAGACGATATCGGACATTGAAGTACCAACCATCACAACTAGATTGCTGCGTCATTAACTCTTATTTTCAAGTTCCTAACGTTTTGTACGTCGAACCTAATTTAGGACGACTTATTGAAATACAAGCCTCCACTGTGAAAACTACTCTACAACATACATACACACACAAACACACACACACACACGCACACACATATATATATATATTTATCAGGTATGCTATATTCATGGGTAAAATAGCTCAATATGAGGAATAGAGCGTATGTAAATATATAATATAAAGTGGACAATGAGGTCAACACCTAGTGGCGACAGTCTGTTTCATTCTTGAACTCAATCTTCTGGTCATGAAAATTGCGTTCAAGCATGAAACAGACTGTCACCGCTATGTTGACCTCAGTGTCCACTTTATATATATATATATATATATATATATATATATATATATATATATATATATAAAATTCAGGAGATCAGTTGAATCCGTTACCTTAGTTTCAATCTTACGGTATCCTCAGGCGGTCCTGATTTTTAAAGTTAAAAGCTCTACATGCTATTTTTACTTTTATTTCACCCATTTACTGAGCACATTTTAATACCACTGTTTCCTGGTCTGATTCAACTCTGTCTATTAACCTTTTATGTAATATAAATATTGCCATAGTGAATTTTTTTCAGCTCCCAGATTATATTTTTATCTTGCAAAGTAATTTAGGGATTGCATGGTACTTCTAAATTATCAAAATCTTAAATAATGCGCCATATTTTTTGACACCAGTGATCAACATGATTTTGACACATTGACTGTCAACTATGAATTATCTCGGTTTTTTTTTTTTTTTTTTTTTTTTTATGAGGCTGACTACGAGATATCTCGTCTTTGGCATTTTCTGATACATTTTTATCTGCGGGCACCAACGACGAGTTTATTCGCAATTATTCTTTTAGCGTGGAAACAATGTTAAGACTTCAGCTATAAATCAACTCATACATTTTTTTTTCTTGCCTAAGTAGGCTATTATAAAGTCAGATTTCGTAATTGTCCTCTGGCGGTCAACGTGTTAATATATCTTTTTTTTCATTTGAATTTTTAAGATGAGTAATGTACATGATTGTAAATTAACTTGTAATGTGTAGATGTGAGTTTAGATATGGCGATATGCTCATAATATTTTAAAGGCTTCGAGCTTGAGTATAAATGCATATATCTAAGTGCGATGGATAAATTGTCGTCCAAATGACGCAAGAACGTAAATAACACTGACATCGCATTTTAACAGATATATTTACCAGAATTACCCAATAAATATCTTGGAGTACTAAAGAGTAAATCTATTCAATAAAATCGCTACTGGCTTCAACCACGACCTCCAGACGACTTCGGAATCTCCTGAAACTCTTCTGGATTGTCTCCTTGTTTAAGTTGGTGAATACTGCCATAATCCTTGTCCTCAGTTCATTTTTGGTGTTACAAAGAGTTTTGTTGGTCTCTCGTTCAATTGCGTTCCACACATAATAAAGAAG